AGCAGCTTTATTGTACTTTTATGGAGTTTTTAAATACATTTTATTTAGTCTGCCTTGTAGGGGTTTTTGCTTCATGTTTTGGGTCCCTATTCTATATAAGGTAAAATGAGTTTAGATTCAACAACAGTTCACAAACCCCAGTGAGTTGCCAGGTTTCTCTTTGTGGTGGTCTGTTCCATGCAATATCTCCACAAGGGTGTTGCTGATTTTATCAGGTGTAAATTGACCTTTATACCTGTGGGGTCCTTTGATCTGGTGAGTGATTCACTCATTTGTCTGGTGGTGGCCAGGGGATTTGTTGAGATACTTAGGACACTTCAAGAAGAATGATTTTGAGTCTCATTTTAAGCACTGCAACTGTTTACACATTCCTATAGACTTGTATGGGAATGCAAAACCTACTTGAAATGAACAAAAACCCATGCAAGCCAAGGCAAAGCAATAGGTGAGCATTAATACCACCCTGTTGTTCTCAGAAGAACATGCCTTCCTTCAATCCCCCACCTCTCTGTGCAAGTGGCAGGGCTAAAAAAAATACCCAGTATTTCTAGTTGTGCACATGGTATTACTCTTGGTGATTGGCCCAGTACTGCAACATGAGGCAAAGAGAGTCCCTGGCCATGTGTAAGAGCTGACTAAAGCAACCCAAGGCTCATACAAGACATCCTTTCTTAAATCCTGGTGACTTATGCTGGCCATAGACAAATCTGCTGAACCGGCTGAGGTTTGAACCAAGTATGGGCAGGCTGAATGTACCCAAGTTGATTGATCGATTATTGCTAGCGGCTGTTATAGCTGTGGTTGCAGAAAAGAAATTCAGCCTTCCTTAGTGTAGTGGCAGTTTAGGAAATGTGAGTACAGGTAAATGCTGCTAGGAAGGGCACCATTAAAGTAGACTTGTTGCTTCCCCCTGTATGAGCAAAGCACAGGTTTACTTCAAAGAGAAATAATATTGTATTCTTAATAAGTACACATTTCTCCTACTTATCACTGTCACTGAAACAGAATGTGATGGGACAGTCAAAAGTTTACAGATGTCACCTGAACAGGAGATGAGGGTAAATCGTCCAACAAGGGCATCTGTTCAGGTGCCAGCTATCTAAGAGGGCAATTTCCCTTATTTTGTGAAAATTTCTCTCTCACTTCCTTTGAAAAAACCCAATAAAAAATCAGGGCATAGACAGGGAATGCAAAAGTGCTTCATTAGGTGCAATAGGGGAATTTATCAAAACTGGAGCAGACAGACTCTGGAGCAGCTGTGCATCTCAACCAATCAACTTTTATCTTCAGCTTGTTTGGTTAAGCTTTCAAAATGAAAGCTATACGCTGATTGGTTGCCATGCACAGCTGCTCCAGATTCTAGTTGCTCCAAATTTGATTTATTCTCCTCAATGTATTTGTGTAAGATGGTCAAAATGATAATCTTTTTACTGATCGTATTGCATTTAACTAAAATCTGGTTGGTTCCTTGGGGTTCCTGCACTTTTTACATCACAATTGCTTTTTTGAACAATTGTGCTCTATGTGCAAAAAACCAACTTGACTATCATTTTCTCTGCCCACGCAAGAGCAACAGGTGCTGTCCGCTCTCACTCAACTATCAAAGCATTCAGTGGATTTGGCAGAAGATGTGGTCGAGGCTGATGTCTTCCCTATCATCCCGACAGGCCTTAAGGACCCCGATGAAAACATAAAAAAAAAAAATTCAGCCACTATAATCCAAGATATTGTACCACACACACACCCGAGGTAATGTGTTTCAAATAGCAACATGCAGTGTTAATATACAACTCAGCAATGGATTAATAGCAGCACTCAGCGCTAGATTGGTGGGTTGAGGGAGTAAACTGCAAATTAAAATGATACTTTAATCCTTTTGTACATGAGTCATCATCAGATGAATTAGCGTGTGGGATATTTAAATCCTTTCTTTTGTTGCTAGTCACAGTAATGTGGCTCAGCAGGACTCCTGTGGGCTGCAGCGAAGCGACCTGTTGCCCTCAAGGGTTTGCTGCTAAGCTGACATTTCTTGTTGATGGAGCAGTCCTAATGAACACTAAGAAATATGGGGATCTTAATAAAACTTGTTACTGCTGATCTGAAATCAATAAATAAGCACTAATGCAAGCATTCATTTTTTCTGTGGCTGTATCACAGGGAGTAGCCACCATTAATTATCTGAGCTCTGCATTGTTTTTTCTGCTGCTCTTCCCCCCCAATTAATACAAAGGCAGAGGGCGAGGTGCAGATCTAAGAGATGTCACAACGATTTAGCCCACCGTTTTATAAAGCCCTTCTCCCCATTCTTCCATTGCCTTTTCACGTTATTTGACAGGGATTTCGCACAAATTGGCATTAAACTGTGTGTCATATGTTGTCGTAATGAATTTAGGCTGTGCTGAAGGGACACTGGGCACAATTCACGAAGTGGTATCTTACCGCATCTGAGTATGTGGTAGGATATCGCACAGCATTTAAAAAAAAAAAAAACGTTTGCATTCACTAAAAAAATGCTACTAAAGTACCGCATGAGTTATTTTATCAAGTCATGCAGTATTTTAGTAGTTAAAACCATGCGTTAATGTTGCAGCTGTCAGCGGGGTTCTGCACTGACAGCTGCATGTACAAGAAAGATTTGCCAGCAATTATAAAATAATTTAAAAAAACAGCGTGGGGTCCCCCCTCCATCCATACCAAGCCCTTTGAGTCTGGTATGGATTGAGGGGAACCCCCACACCAAAATGTAAAAAAAAAATGGTGTGGTGTTCCCCCTAAAATCCATTCCAGACCCTTATCCAAGCATGCAGCCCAGCAGGTCAGGAAAGGGGGGGGGGGCGAGCAAACGCCCCTCCCCTCTTGAACCATACTGGGCCCCCAGATCCCCCGGCCCCCGCTATGTGAATGAGTATGGGGTACATGGTACCACTACCCATTCACAAAAAAACCCCTGTAGTCTGAAAAAAGACAGGAGACACTCTTTGACAAGTCCTTTATTAAAAGAAAAAAAATAAAAGAATGTCCCCGAAGTAACGTCAATCACGATGCCCGCCGCCACTACCCGAAAAAAAAAGGCTCAGCTCTGGACGCTGGCTCCTGACCGTCTGACTGCTCCGCTGGCTTGACAGTTCTTAAATATGTAAGGGGTGGGGCCACCCAGTGACATCACCCATGTGACCCTGTCCCCATGTGACATCATCTACTGAGGCATGCTGGGAGCCCCCCTGCCCCAAAGCAGCCCCCCCATGTTGAGGGAATGTGGCCTGGTATGGTTCAGGAGGGGGAGAGGGGGGCGCTCGCTCATCCCTCCCCTTTCCTGACCTGCCGGGCTGCATGCTTGGATAAGGGTCTGGTATGGGTTTTTGAGGGGGACCCCACGCTATTTTTTTAAACATTTTGGCGTGAGGGTTCCCCTCAGAATCCAAACCAGACCCAAAGGGCTTTATATGGATGGATGGGGGGGGGGGGGACCCAACGTAATTTTTTCAATTATTTTTTAATTTACTGCACTTTTTTTTTCACATTCAGCTGTCAGTGGGGAATACTGCTGACAGCTGATGACTCATAGGTTGTTAGGGACTCGGCGGCCACCCATTCCTTAACAAACCATGACAGTACTGACCAGGGGCGGACTGACAATTTGGAAACTTGGGCACTGCCCACAGGGCCCGGGGTCAGTAGGGGGCCCAATGAGATGCCCCTGGTTCCTTTTTCATAGGCTTTTTTGAGTTTGGGCAAGGACACAGGGGCCCCATGATCCCCTATTGTCTGGGGGCCCCACGAGTTGTCAGTCCGCCTCTGGTACTGACAGATAACAGTACATACCACAAGCCTGGACCACTACTTAATTACCGCATGCATTTAATTACTTGTTTCCTTTTGTGAATTGACTTTAAGGTCTTTTTATGCGGTATTTGTAGAGTATTTTTGCTATATTCGGCAAATACCGCATACTAGCAATAGTTAATTGACATTTTCAGTATTGCATGTGATATGTGGTCATGTGACTGACTTAACTCATGCGATAAGCACACTTTTTAGATATTTCAAATGTTTAAAAGTCTTGACAAAGAGCTGACACCCACAATGTGTATGCCATTACCTTTGTTAATCAGAACACCCTTCACCCATATCAGAGAATGCTTGGGGCCATTCATGGTTAGGTGCAATACAACTGTGATTAACATCTTCTGTCTGTGTGTTCTTGAGTATTGATTGGCCAGGTGCAATTTTTCCAGGCAACTTTCTATTGTTTCTCTTAAGAAAGCTGTCCTTCTCCCTGACCATGACCATTGACAAATGTATGAAGCCTGCCTACCTTCGAAACCCTTGTGCTGCGAGAAGACTCCTATTGGCTGCCAAGGCAGATCATAAGACAGGGGAGTGTCAGATGTGCAAGGCTTGCCTTCATAGCCAGGACCATTACTCATTACAGTTTAACAACTTCATGTCCGGACACTTTTACCCCCTTCCTGTCAAGGCCAATTTTCAGCTTTCAGTGCTGTCACACTTTGAATGACAATTGCGCGGTCATGCAACACTGTACCCATATGAATTTTTTAGCATTTTTTTGAGACAGATAAAACTTTATTTTGGTGGTATTTATTCACCACTGGGATTTTTATTTTTTTTGCTATATAAATGAAAATGTCCAAAAATTTTGAAAAAAAGTGTTTTTCTTATAACATTTTGCAAATGAATAATCTTTCTTCATAAATCTTGACCAACATTTATTCAGTTATCTTTTTAGTAAAAAAAATAACCCAAATTAGTTTATAACCAAAAATTATAATTTTTTCAAAAAAAAATGTTTTTTACACTTTTATTTTATTTTTTTTATACTATTATTTATGTTTTTTTTAACATACTGTCACCCTAGCTTGTGGGGGGGGGGTGATGAAGATTTTGTTTTTTTTTTGCACTGATTGCTTTTACACCCAAAAAGGCTGTAAAAGCAATCATTTCTCCTTCTCTCTGGCTGCATTCTTGCAGCCATTGAGAAATACTGTGTGAGCTGTGATTGGTCACAGCTTGTCACATAGTACAAGGCTGTTGTGAATAGCCTTGTACCATGTGATCTCTGTGATCATTCACAGATTTCACACGTAGTAAGCAATGATGTCAGAAGTGACATCTTGCTTACACCTATTCAGGTGATCACTGATTGGCCAATCAGTGATCACATGATCGGGACCTCGCACAGAGGTCCCGTACAGCAGGCACCAGATCGTGGTGCCACGTGCTCCCAGGGAGCGTGCACAGTCCAAAATGGCAGGCGCCGTTTATGAACAGCAACCCTCCCCTGCACTTCCACCGTCCGGCCGTTTATATACAATATAAACTGCATACGCACACAGTTTGTTTGGTCAGGAGCAGCTGCAAAGGGGCACAACATTTTGCTCTAAAACCCGTCCTGTAAATGGCAAGATAGAGAGGAAAGAGAGGCAAGTACTTTTTGTGGAGAGGACCCAAAACAGCTGCAACTGGAATTGGAGGACCATTTCTAACAAGAGAAGCTATGGTATGTACTATTCATTCGATGTAGAATTGCATAGGGTGATTTAATGAAAAAAAGAAAACCTGAAAGGTGAACTTCCACATTGGTGGTTGTAAACTTATTTTTTTTTTTTTTATATAACAAACAGGTTTTATACTTACCAGTTCCATGCAATGGAATTGCACAGAGCCACCCCAAACCTCCCCTTCTTGAGTCCCCTGCCAGCACTCCTGGCTCCTCCTCTCTGTCTAGTGTCCCCATAGGAAGCTGCTTCCTATGGGGGCACTTGTGCGTCCTTGCACCTAAACCCTGCTGTCTGTGTCCATTGACACAGACAGCAGGACTCGGCCCTGCCCCCAGCTCCCCCATCACTGGCTTTGATTGAGAGTTGCAGCAGCCAACAGCAAAGCTAGCAAGAGCCTGTGACACCTGGACCTAAAGGGAGGCAAGAATTGCAGATGTGCACAGCGCTGGATGAAATGAGGGCTCAGGTAAGTAAAAGGGGGGGCGGTGAGGGGGATACTGGTGAGTAAACATTTTTTACCTTCAATCAAGGAATGCATTAAGGTAAAAAATGGTTAGGCTTTAGAACCACTTTAAATAGGAAAAGGCAGTTCTAGAGCAAATTCACTTATCCTGGTTTGCTATAAGTTTGGAAGACTTTAAAGTGATACTAAACACACACTGTCTAATTTACATTGTCCCTTCTATTTGTGTATATGGCTGAAGGCACTGTAATTATTTTAATTAAAAAAGCATTAAGTACCTTTATCCTAATCTATATACAGTTGTCACATGACTCAGCTCTTTCCCAACCTGTCTGCAGGGAAACATAAGCAGGAGGAGCTGCTAGTCCTCCGCTACTGGTGACATGTTCAAAATAAAAAAACAGCCTTTGGGATAAAGATTGGGATACAGAGTAAAAATAAATAGTTTATACCAATAAACTGTTTAAATAGTCATACAAATATATATTTGAAATCAAATCTTTATTTTTTTTTGGCAATAACATTGTGTGGGCAGATTTTGACCAGTCACAGGCTGTGTCACTCCCCTCCACCTACCCTGTGACTTAGAATAAGAGGGAGGTGAAGCCTCCATCAATCTACAGGTGATATCCCACCCCATTGTGTTTAGCTGGTTAGTGGGCATGGAGGAGGAGAGAGGGAGTGGGCTGTCATTTACCACTGTGTATACGCCCACCACGCGTGCCCTATAATCACATAGACTGCTCAGATGTGATAGGAAAGAAATGCTCTGCATAAAAACTCACTGAAAACTGAGCATGTGCAGAGGTACCAACACTACTCAGCAAAATCCCTTGATGAAATGGGGACATGGACAGAAGGGGGAGCTAGTAAACAGCAGGATCAAGCAGATTTTTGGCAGAATACAGAAAACAAATCTCCTAGTGACTGAGTGAGTATGAACAGAATGTTATACAGCATTTATTGAGAGTTTAGCGCTACCCATGTAAGGACCCGCTGTGTTGTGGGTACCCCTAAGATTCTGTCTGCACAGCCAGGCAACAGGTATTTCTTACACAGACTTGCATCCAAGAGTTAGTAACCAGTCTGTGGGTTTTGGTTTGTTGTTTTATAAAGGAAATCAACTTGGATAGCAAAATGGGTATTATGGGAAGCCCAGTTGGCTTGAATCAATGAAGGGGGGACAACTTCCTTTCTATGTACAAAGGAAGATCCTGGACTGTTCTTTTCTTGAAAGCCATCAGTCGTTGTGGATCAGTAGCAACAGCCCTTTATGAGTGAGGAACTAGCAGCCCCTCAAAAATCAGCTACACTTCCTGTAACTACATGCAGGAATATCTTCTCTTCTCCTGTTGAGCTGCCCCCAGGTCCACAGCCTGTAAGCACTACCAGCCCTCCTGGCTTCTCGGAAGATCTCCCAGGACTAGGATAAAGGACTGAGACCAGCGCTGTCTATAGAAAGCTTGCTATGTGTGGCAGTCTTTCCCCTTGTAGATCCCAGAGAGTGCTGCTGTACTCACTCTATCCTCCTTGCTACTTGCTGCTCCAGGTCTTGATCCCATTCATCCTACACTGCTGAATGTATCCTCCGGAGCCAGCCTGAGCCCAGCCTGGAGACTGGCTCCCCCCTAGACCTAGGGGACCCCTCCCAGGCACTGACAGCCTTCTCAGCACTCTATCTTCCACCCAACCCCTCTGTCAACCTGACTCTCCCATATTTATGGGCCAGTCCACCACTCTACCAGGGTCTGCAATCCTGGGATTGGCCAGACTCCCATAAACATGTAGCTTAGGTCTCCACCCCTTCCTGCTTACTGACTTCTGGAAGGTTCTGTGGTCCTCCAGAGTCAGGAGGAGGTGATTCCTAGATTGTAAGCTCGAAAGAGCAGGGCCCTTGATCCCCTCATGTTTTGCATTGTATTGGTATTGTTCTGTCACATGTTCTGTCTCCCTTTGTAATGTACAGCGCTGGGCGAACTATTGGCGCTTTATAAATACTGTATAATAATAATAATAATAATAGAGCCACAACCTGTTAAGTCATCCAGCTTACCTGCAATAACCTGACCTCAATCACAGGCTCACACAGTTACCATGAGTCATACACAATGATTTTACCTACAATACACTACACTATTCTAGTAGCACACTAGAGGGTTTAGTGACACTTTAAGCAGAAACTATTGAATAAATATTATTCAGTTAGGGATTACATCTATTTTAGATGGCCCAATTGTTCATTCTCCCCTTTCATGGATCATTATTATTATACAGGATTTATATAGTAAAACAGTGTAAACAATTTGTGCAGTTAATAAAAGTTCATAAACATATGAAAAATAAAAAATAAATGCATGAAAAATGAAATAAAACTATAAAATAAAATAAAAAGTGATTGCTGCTAACACATCACTTTTCACCACACTTCAACAAAATGTATAACATCCTCCACAATGCAGTGCTAATCCCATCAAATAATGTGACATTCCTTAATTTCTTCACACCGAGCGCACGCAAATGTGCGGCCTCTCAGCGTCTGGGCCTTGACACCGAGCGGCCACACATTTGCGTGCAATTAAAAAAAACATGTGCTGAGATCGCGACCTGCGCGCTCCCAGCGTACATGTCTGGTACTCACAGAAAGGTCCCGATCTCCTCTTGTGATCGGGACTTTTCCTGATCATGTGACCGCCATGACAGCGAATTACGGCGGTCACATGACCCTAAAACCATGCCCGCCTCCCGACTTCTGAAACCCTTAAAGTGCCAGGAGGCGCCGGTGCCAAGGAGTTAATTCAAAACAATATAATGGTCCTTCAATATCCAATAAAACTGAATTTCCTCCACTACCATGATGTGATTATCTTTTCCTTCCTCTTTTCTCAAGCTCTGTGACACATGCAAACACCCAGTGATAATATACACTCACCTTGTGCAATGGACCTCAATACAGATCAAGGTTATAACACACTTGTAGCCCCACCGTAGGCATATGTGACATCAGCTATTCCTCTCACTCCTTCCTCCTCAGTATTCAGCATGGGAACATCGCATACAAAAATAGAACAGTGCTCCCTGTGTTGTAACAATTTATTAAAAAGCTCCTAAAATCAGCACTTGCATTTAATAAGCACCCCCCCCCCCCAGTGCTGTGTATCTCAGTATGAATAAACATGGGTCATAGTGATTAGTGATAGCACAGCCAATGTTCTCATACCCACCTGGCGGCTCCAAATCCTCTACGCATTACGCTCCTGTACCAGAGATTCCTCAAACTTCTTTATGATTCAATAAAAGAGAAATCAGAGGGCCCTGCTCATTAAAGTTTACAATCTAAAAATTAGCATTCCCAGAATCTGTTTGGACTTTCAGTTCCGTAACTTGGTAAATTTATGGAGATTTTACAACAAGCTCATTACTTTTGGTTTAGTGTGACACACTCAAAAAAAAAAAAATATTCCCCAGTGTAATCTCTGAATCCTAACAGCTGTTTTTAACACACAGGTGAGAATTGTTACCCTTTCAGGTCTCCAGTGGGCAGTGTTTAATAGGAGTTCAGTAGATCAGGGAAAGTTGTCTGTAAAGCCATTACACAACTTTGTTTCAAAGTCTTGTCATAATAGCTCATTTTGAGTTTGGAAACTTTGTCAGCTGCTTAAATATTCAAACAGAGTAGACGTTCTTTTACTGCATGAATATAACCTATTCATATGTGACATTTATCTTTCTAAGTTGTGTAAAGATCTAGTGCAGTGAAACAGCTGCAATCTGTGATATGCAGTTCTTTGAAAATAGCTCCCACTGCTGGGCTACAGGTCCTAAAAATAGGTTAAATATCCAACTGCCACCACATTTTATGTCCTCTATATTCATCTATATCGTTTTATATGAATCTGCAGCTTATATCCTGTATATTCATATATATCATTGTATATGAATCTGCAGCTTGTAGACAAGGGATAACTTATTCCCTAGCTAAGGGCTCCTTTTTTACAGAAAGTGACCTGTTGTCCCTGCCCCTCCGGCAGGATCCCTATATAAGGTGGATCAAGCTTTGGAGGTTGTTGGAGCTGCTATGTACCTTGGATAGGAAGAATGTAGCAGAGGGCCAAGGGAACCTTGTTGGTTCTCCCAATTGGGCTTTCATAATTATGGACCTTGAGATACCAGCACTGACTTTAAGGGAACACAAACTTGGGGCTGTACCAGAAGATACGGGTTTGTTGAAGTGAAATCTACAATCCCCTATTCACCTTGCCAAATGTTGGAAATTATGTTTATGTTTATTCAAGTAAAGAAATTA